TCCCTATCTCTGTCACGCCCCCACCCCCCTACACCCCCTCCCTATCTCTGTCACCTACTCCACCCCCCTACACCCCTCCCTATCTCTTTTACCGTGCCCCCCACGCCCCTACACTCCTCTCTCCCGGGCCCAGGTTAATGTTCTGATCCCTACTGTCTGAAGCTACTCTCCCAATTAGGAAATGGAGCTCCAGTGTTCGGAAACATTGCAGCCGGAAAATGTGAGGCTAAATTATTCAGCGAGCTCCAGACTCATGCACACGGAGACAATAGATGAGCCCCATTAATTTTTAAAAACTAACTCCAACAAACATTGAGGCTTCAGGGTGTGTCAAGTGAAGCCTAGTTTATTATTTGCAATCTTTCTCCCCATCGATGACACAATATTTTGCATTGTACAGTCCCTTTCCTCTGACTATCCGTTTTCCTTGCTCCCACCACATCCTCTATCATTCCACGTGATCTCCGTCTCACTCAAGCAGCACAACTGGCAATTCGACTAGGGTGTGCATCACCGCAAGGTACCCACTGCCTGACGACAACGCTGCGCGCATCCATTCCCCAGTCCATGTCCTACTTGCATGGCAACGCAAGGTTCAGAAACAACGATCTCACGCCTCCCTCCCTCGGGCACTGTTGGAAGGTCAGCGCTGAGGGAGCGGGCACAGTCGGCGGGTCAGCGCTGAGGGAGCGGGCGCTGTCGGAGGGTCAGCGCTGAGGGAGCGGGCACAGTCGGAGGGTCAGCGCTGAGGGAGCGGGCACAGTCGGAGGGTCAGCGCTGAGGGAGCGGGCGCTGTCGGAGGGTCAGCGCTGAGGGAGCGGGCGCTGTCAGAGGGTCAGTGCTGAGGGAGTGGACGCTGTCGGAGGGTCAGTGCTGAGGGAGCGGGCGCTGTCGGAGGGTCAGTGCTGAGGGAGCAGGCACTGTCGGAGGGTCAGCGCTGAGGGACGAGTGTGGTCGGCGGGTCAGCGCTGAGGGAGCGGGCGCTGTCGGAGGGTCAGTGCTGAGGGAGCGGGCACTGTCGGAGGGTCAGCGCTGAGGGAGTGGGCACTGTCGGGGTGGTCAGGGCTGAGGGAGCGGGCACTGTAGGAGAGTCAGGGCTGAGGGACCGGGCGCTGTCAGAGTGTCAGGGCTGAGGGAGCGGGCACTGTTGGAGGGTCAGTGATGAGGGAGCGGGCACTGTCAGAGGGTCAG